GAATGGTTCTTGAGAAACTTCGAATAAAGACTATTTAGTTATCTCTGGAATGATGTAAAAATGAGCGTTCTTGCTCATTTTGCTTCCGAGAAACATGCAAAACGGGACGAAAACATGAAATTTTGCAATAACCTTGCGCCCCCTTGCACAAAACGACGATCATTTTTCTAATTTCATAGATAACAGATGACAGAAGAAGAAGTATTTTTTCTACATAACCCCCCCCTGACTTTAAAGCTGGATCCGCCCCTGGGAAAAGCATCCCTTTATTCATCTGCCTAAAAAATAAATTTTTAATTCAAAAGTTGGACGTCAAAATTCCTATTTTTCTAGGACGCTTGAATTCAATTTTTATAAAATAAATTTGAAAAAGCCCCTAAAAACAAGTAAAAAAGTTCATTTAACCATATGTCTCCAAATGCATAACTCCTGAGATACAGGGTGTTGAACTATATAGTAGTCAGTTGTAAACAGTTCGAAAATAGAGGCGGAAACGCAAAAAGTGCAAGACACAAAATACTTTTTAAACCAAACGGAGATTTTGACTAGGATTTAGTGGGGCACCAAAAAAAAGTTTGGAGCACCGAAAGAGAACATGACCGCTAAAAAATAAGACCCTGTATATTTTAGAAAAGTGTTTCGCACCGGACGATGTAAACACCAGAGCGCAACATTCGGTGCAAATTTGAGGTAAATACCGCAAAAACTGCAATCGTTACAAGAAAAAAAGTGAACAAAAATTCTAATTTTCAACACCCTGTATCTGGGGAACGAGGCCTTTGCAGACACGCGTTTATACTTATTTTCTACTTATTTTTTTGAGTTCTCATCAGCCCATTTTTTCGCGTCCATTCACAATAAATGACCTAAATAAAAAATTAAGAAATAAAAATTAAAAAATTAAACGAAAGTAAATGCCATCTACTTCTTTGCCATCCACCAAAACCATCCAGATCCAAGTAATTTATTCCATTCGTTCAATCATGTGAGCATCTAAACTCTTCTGGTCAGAACGTCGATGTGCCCGGTCCAATTCAAATTTCCATAGCGCCATCGACGTTCTGATAAATAGACAAGTTTACGTTGACTCAAACTTTTCGACTAAAAATTGAATCACCTCGTATATCTGATTTGTGTTAAGAAACCGCAAAGTCGTCGTTGCAAAAACAATCGACACAATCCACAAGAGTATCACGATCAATCAGACCGATCAACTTTCCTTGCATGTTCGCCCGATTATCAACAGTCTGCCGCAACCGGCGACATCGATTATCAAAGCCGGCTTTCTAATCTAAAATCGAAATCAGTTCGTTTCGTTCATTCAACAGTTTCTGCATCTTTGCAGTTTGGCACGCGATCGGCAAAAATGCGTTGACCAAACGCTCATCGCTCTTCACTGTGGTAAACAGAAGACTGCGCCTCTTCATTGTGCGCATCGGAATCGCCATCGAGCCAGCATTTGAAAGCAAGAGCCAAAATGCGCGGCTCTAGAAATGATCAGTGTTTGTTCCGAAAGTAGAAAGGTAGTGAGTGAGGGATTTTTCACAATCGAGCTCTTCACACGTGCGTTACGTGCATTTCACGTTGAATGAGTGAGTGCGTTTTGAGGGATTTGCGATCGATACCGGCCAGATTAAAGGGTAAGTGACCTATTTCTCACCTCCAGGTTTCGCAAGGGGATGCGCGAAGGGATGCTGCGAAAATTATTAATTTCCGCAGTTTTCCTAGCAAGAAAACCGATTTAGTTAGAGGCCTTATTACTTCATAAGGCCTTGCAAGAATTCCAATTCTATAGAACTAGCTATAGCTATGTCATCTCAGCTACAAGGCGCATAAAATGTTGCTGAGCCGAGTGACAGCTACCTGAATCAGCTGTTTTCTTCGCTATGCTGCTGCTTCGTCCAACAGCCAAAACAGGAAAATTCTCTTATTTTACCTTCGCTGCTGTTTACTTGTTTGCAACTTGCACTCTTTCCTCTTCCTTGACTTGCTAACTTTCTTCTGGCTTATTTTTTATTCCATATTTTGCAATTTAATTTAGTCTTGTTGACTAGTAGCAATTTCTCTAATTGATCTGAGATATTCATCAGCTAGGAAAATGACAAAATAGGAAATATTTTGTTTGCGCAGAGTTCGATAGTGGAAAGCAGAAACCAATCGAAACGCGCGTGTAAAAAAATCCCCAAAACTCAATCAATTTAGTTTTGCTTTGCTTCTCTGCTGCATGATTAAATACTGGTTTTGTTTCATTGAGGCGAGAAATTCAGCAGAGCGGACCCTTGGAAAAGTAGATTTTTTAAATTAAATTTAAGTATAAACTTTTGCATAGAGTTGGCTTAAAAATGAGGAAAGCTACCGAAAGGCGTTTACAAAAAATCCAACTAGAACATTTTTGCCCAATATAAATTCTAAAGAAATTGAATATGGAATGAAGAGTGGAAAGCCGACTTTGAAGAGCAAATGAACCATTCGATAAAAACATCTATGGGGATTTAGGAAAATTGAGCCAAAAGTGAACAGGGCAATGAATAAATATCATTAGTAGTTGATGAGCGAATTGTTTAATTAAAAATCTAGGATTTGTCGGCGAATAATGATCAAAGTCGCCATTACTGGCTGGTCATAATGGTTCCTATATATGCATGGATACTGGTTATAAATGCGACTTTATACAAGTCCATCTGGATTTAAATACGCGATTTGAAAACATGTGCACATTTGCCCATTCGTTCGTACATACAGGCAGGTTTTAAATATCAACACCATACATTATAATCCGTTAATTCGCGTTTCCATATATCCGGTAACAGCAGGAGCTGTTAAATCCGATTTGGTTCATGTGGGGTTGGATTTTGCACGATTTTTCAATCATAAAATCGGCTTTTGCTTCGGTGAGACACTGCAAGGTTTTAAAACGTAATGCTTGATAAAATGATATCGAAATTTGATCGGCTCCTGCAAGGCCTGCATGAGGATACGTATAATTAGACTATTGATGGCGGTTGCGGTTAATTGCGAAGCAAAGCAGTAAAATAATACGTTTTTAGGTGTCCACATATAAAACGTGGAAATTTCAGCGAAGACAAACCCTTTCAGTCATAAACTCTACCTGAAACTACCCGGACGACCTGAAAGTTGCCTTCTATAATGAACAACTAAAAAGCCAGTAAAACTTTACGAACCTATATAGAAAATAGCGAAACTACAGATTAAATCGTAAAAGTTCCAACTGAATTAGCCAGAGCCGAAATGGGGAGATGATGGCTGCTTTTCGCAAATTGCGCTCCTAAAACACATTTTTTTCAGATAAATGAGATCATAATGAGCATATGTGCCGATTTAGAGGTTCCAGGGCCGTAGAGTGTTTTGACAAAATCGGTTTAATAATAAACACACGTTCAGGCCAGGGGGGGCCCCAATCCGAACTGAAATGGCCTTTGTTGGCTTATTGTTTATTGTCGCTCTATAAATGGGAATGTTAAGCAGTCGTTTTTACAATTCGCGGACATTAAGCGTGGGAAATTTCCCATTTTAATGAAAAACAGGGGATTTTTGTGGGTTACTTTATATTATTATGCATGAATAGACTCAGTTGAAGATTACTCGAAGCGTGGTAAGCTTAAGCAAAGCAAAGGTTAATGGTTTATTATTAATTGCTGGTTCACATATTTTCAGTCAATAAGATACAGACTTGTTTGCGGTTTAAGGAAATTTTCAAAATTTATTGGAACAAACGTTTTGAGGATTTTCTAGCTAAATCTTTTTTTAGGCCAAAAGTGTTTTTTCCTGACGTTATCCAAGCAGGTTTTGGTTTGAATCTTCAGAGAGCAACGGCATTGAGAGATTTTTTTGCAAATTTTTAATGAGCTCTGGAAGAATCCGATCAGTTTGCTACGATTCGGCAACATTTTTAGAGTTTCGCAGGGTTAAATAAACGATATATTGTACTTTTTTTACGGACGTCAAGACTTCTGTACAGAAATTTCATATTAAAGTGCTTTTTTCCACACTTAAAGTAGCGCATTTTCTCTTTCGAGTAATATTATTAGCTGGATTGTGTGATTTTTGGCTTTCTTGTCAATTTTTCAAAAAATTTGCGTTTTCCAACTGCCAATTGCCTCGCCTTCGAAACTGAAAAAATCCTGGAAACTCCCAGAAATTTCCTATTAAAGTGAGTTTTTCCACACTTAAAATAGCGCATTTTCTCTTTCGAGTGATATCCAACAAACTGGATTGTGGGAATTTTGGCTTTTTCTTGCAAATTTTTGAAAAATTCATGTTTTCCAACGACCAATCTTAGGGTTGAGAAGTGCCACTACTTTTCGCATTTATTAAATCCTAATGAGTACAAAACACGTTAAGACTCAACTGCAAAAAATATGGCCTCCTTTTGCCATATTCAATTCTCCTAATGGACAACATAAACTTGATGCCATTGAACCTTAATCGACATTTTCAAGTGAAAATCGTCTCCTTTTCTGTCGCTGTTGACCGTATTCGCCGCACTTAATGATTATGAGAAATAGCTGGACGATTTGACGTCAGTATTTGCGTATTTTCCGTGAAGAATCGATTTACGGAAACTGAGTTTGAGAGCTTTTCGAATCAAAACAGGTGCAAAATGCTGGACGCCGCGTTTTCCCTGTTCAATTAGCTGATTAGTTATTAACGTGGATCGTGCCGTCATTAACGGAAAAATGATAAAATGTGTGCTTTTCGTTAAGGTCGCACGTTTAAGTGGGTGAAGGCCTGGAAAATGCTAATGTTTCCTGGAACTACTATTATTAATACGAACCATGTTGCTGATTAGTTTTTTTGAAAAATGTTTCATTTACACCAGCTTCGCTTAAGGTTTAACGCAGTCTAATACAAAGAAACGTTATTTTGAAACCTTCTGGTTATTTTCCATTTTTTTGCTGTGAAGACAAGTGGAACTCCATTAAACGTTGTTATTGGAAAGGAAATCTGACACACTATTGACAATTTTCAATCAATCCGTGAACACGTAACGTAATAGGGCAAGAAAATATAAATGGAAGGAAACTGCATTAACTGTAAAAGCTTTTGCCACTAAACTTTTATACATTGCGCCCGGCATAGACTGCACCCATCGACGGCTATTGTTTCATTCATCGGATATTGTGAAATTTTAGTACTTGCCACCCTCATAATGTCTTACTTTGTGCATTTCCTTTCGCATTCAGGGTGGCAGGCGGCAACTCGAGCTCAGATCTCATTTTCGTTATTTTTTTACCATCTTTTGCCCCCATTTGACATCTGGAAGAACCATTCGTTCGACGCATCAAATTTAAACTAATATGCAGTTGCGTATTTAAATTATAACTGTTTTTCTCATTACGAATATGAAAAGCGACGAACGTGCATCCTTGATGGTTTGGCGCCATGCGTGCCTGAAATAATATACCGATCTTCAGTTAGGCTGTTGGCAACATTTTTTCAATTCTCTATCACTTCTTTGCTGCTGTAGGCCAAAGCAAGAACATATAATTGCTTAAAAAATCTCGCTAGTGCATATCAGCTAAGAAAGACAAGCAAATTTTAGCAACTTGCGTCCGACTTGCTCTTTGCAGGTTTACGAAATAACACGTTTTGTGTCGTGGGAACATTTTGAAAAATTTATATCCCCAAAATGCATTCAACGACTGAACCTGATTTTTTAAGTTTCAATTGACTGCTTCTCGGGACTACTGTTGAAATGGGCAAGAAACTTTCTAAAGATGAACTGAATGGGAATAAATTTGGAATGTTAAAAGCCTTATTTAGCAGCAAAATAGGGGGGAGTAATGGGGATAATATAAAAAAACATAGATAAACCAATAGGAAGAAGAAACAGTCGAGTTAAAAGCACATCTTAGAGAAACAGTAGCCAAGAATGTATTTTGAGTTTCACTTGTTTAATTTGTAATAAACGACAAGGAAAGTCACTGAAAAAAAGGCCTAAAATTTTAAGTTGGAAAATTCATAAGAATTTACGGTGGTAATTATAAAAAAATAAAATAATCAACAATTTTTGTTAGTAAAATTATACTAAGGAGCAATGGACTCGCTGCTGAACTCGTAAAATTTGTTTCCCAACCGAAAAAAAACTATACGAATAAAGCAACTTTTTCAACAGTCAAAGTGCGTATCCAGCTTTTAAACCTCGATGTTAAATGCAGCTTAAAATGGCCAAAAAAATCTTCAATGGCCCCAAGTATTTTTTGTCGTAAAAAATGTTCTCCAGAAAACCTTCTACATGCTCACACTCATCTTGAGCGTAGGCTGGCAAATTCGAATTGCACCAGCGTATAAACATCATTAAAAATGATCATTTCCTATCTTTGCAAGGTCGCACTGCAATTACCTTTAACTCTGCTAATTAAACGGCGCTCTTTTACACGCCAGATATTCGGTTTGGTTGCAACATTTGCCTGTTTTCCATCAATCGCTATTCTCGAAAATATCGTCAACAAAGCCGATGTTCGGAACAGAAGCCAGATATGTGGAAATGTTCATAAAAAGCAAACCGTTGCAGATGCTATGAAAATTTCCAGCTAAAACTATATAAAAATGAATGATAAACAATAACAATTTATGACGTTCAATTGCGTCTGGTTCCACGTGTGAAGGAGTCTTGATA